TGGCATGGGGATTGGAAGAAGACTCATTAACAACTTGCAATACCCAGATGACACAACTTTGCTTGCTGCAAGTGAGGATGACTTGAAGCACTTGCTGATGAAGATTGAAGACTACAGTCTGCAGTATGGATTACACTTCAGTATGAAGAAAACATAAATCCTCACAACTGGACCCATAAGCAGCATCACAAAGAATGGAGAAAAGATTGAAGTTGTCAAGGACGTCATATTACTATTTGGTTCTACAATCAACACCAATGGAAGCAGCAGTCAAGACATCAGAAGATGTACAGCATTGGGCAAATCTGCTGCAAAAGACCTCTTTCAAATGCTGAAGAGCAAAGATATCTCCTTGAAGACTAAGATGCACCTAACCCAAGCCATGGTATTGTCAGTCACCTCATAGCATGTGAGAGCTGGACAGTGAAAAAGGAAGACTAAAGAAAAGTTGACGCTTTTGAGTTGTGGTGCTGGCGAAGAATGCTGAAAGTACCATGGACTGCTAAAAGAATGAATGAATCTGTCCTGGAGGAAGTGCAGCTGGAATGCTCCTTGGAAGTGAGAATGGCCAGACTTCATCTCACCTACTTTGGCCATGTTGTCAGAAGGGACCATCCATTGTCTGGAGAGGGATATCATGCTTGGTGAGGTGGAGGGTCAATGAAAAAGGGGAAGACCCTCAACAAGATGGACTGACACGGTGGCTGCAACAGTGGGCTCAGGTACAGCAGGGATCGTGGAGCTGGCACAGGACTGGACAGTGTTTTGTTCTGTTGACATGGGGTCGCTATGATCAGAGATGACTTGACGACACCTAACAACAACAACAGATAGATATGGATGCTGGATGCTGGATGGATGGATGGATGGATATGCATGATAGATGGATGATAAGAGATATAGATGAGAGAGAAATGGAATAGATGAGAGATACAGACGAGAGAGAGAGAGAGATGAGAAACCAAAAACCGAACTCCCTGCCATTGAGTCAGTTCTGACCCATAGCGACCCCCATTGTGTTTCCAAGGCTGTAAATCTTGATGGAAGCAGACTGCCCCATCGTTCTTCCTTGGAGTGGCTGGTGGGTTTGAACCACCGACCTTTTGATTACCAGCCGAGTGCCGTAACCACTGCAGCACCGGAGCTCCTTAGCTATAGATGATGGAAGGTGGATGATGGATGGATAGCCATAGATGATACATCCATGTGGCAGACAGGTCATGGACGAATTAACGGGCAGATACTGATGGGACAGAGATGATGGTGGACAGACATACATAGATGTCGTTGAATCAGCTTCAGCTCACGGCCACATTTTGTCAACAGAACCAAACCATGCCCAGACCTGTGTCATCTTCATGGTCACTGGCATTGTTTTAGAATCCAAAGATAGCAGAGCCTCTTTCAATAGATAGTATTTTCCCCTACACTCCACAGTCTCACGTACAGATTAGGTTCAGATTTTTTAAACAACTTGGAAAACATTCGCAGACTTCTTGTTCCCTGTGAGAAAGAACCTGCCCATGATGGCAGGCAAAGGAAACTAAGTGCCTGAGAAGTCAGCCTTTAAGGGACAGTGGTCTTTACGAGATCTTCTGAACCTCAACCCTAAACAATGGGATCCTAGGGGTCATTTTCTTATCTTTTTCTTACTTCTTCTTTTTCTAACTGGGTCTGAGTTCTGAACCACAGCAGTTTAAATTAAGCAAACTGAAGAAAAAGAAACAAAACTGTATTTTTGTTCTGTGTTATTTTTCATTTAAGACCAAAAGCCCCAGGGACGCCTTTTCTGAGGAGGAGTCTGCTCTTGGTAAAGGCTGAGGGGGTCTGATCCTATTTTTAAGAGAAGTGAATGGAGTCGTATTTATTCTTTGAGACCTGCATTCATAACAGTCATGTCTTAAAAGTTGGGATTTCACAGAGCTACAGAAAATTAACTTTTCTCCACATTTCAAAAAGGCTATAGAATTCACCTCACAATACACTTAGATCTGAAATTCCAGGGTCTAGAATTCTTCATGAACGGAGCTCTGGTGGTGGAGTGGGTAAGGCATTTGGCCACTAACCAAAAGGTCGGTGGTTTGAACCTACCAGTTACTCTGCAGAAGAAAGATGAAGCAGTCTGCTTCTGTAAAGACTGACAGCCTCAGAAACCCAGTGGAGATCGCTATGAGTCAGAATTGACTTGATGGCAGTAAGGTTTTTTTTTTTTTTTTTAATTTTTATTGTGATTTGGGTGAAAGTTTAGAGCAAATTCACTTTCCATGCAGCAGCTCACATGTACTTTGTCTCATGACATTGACTGCAGTTTCCCACAATGCAACAGTGCCCTCCCACTTCCTCCCCATAGTTACCTATTCCCTGTGTCCTTCCCTCCCATGGAGTCCTGCCCCCAAGCTGTCTCCCTGTGAATACACAGCCCTTCTTTCTCCCATGATTGTTCTCTCCAAGGAGTGTATCTACCTAATGTAAATGTTCAGCTCATATGCCTGTCTTTTGTTTGGCTGGAAGCCACAGGTGTGGGTTCAATTCCAGACCTGAAGGGCAGCTAGGGGCCATAGCCTTAGGGGTTACATCAGGCTCTATCAGACCAGCAAAACTTTTTTTTTTTTTTTTTTTAAGTGTTTTCAGTTGTTCCACATTGTTCTCCCACTCTATCCAGGATCTCCTATATAGATCCCCCTCCAAGTAGTTGAGGAGCTCTGGTGGCATAGTGCCTGAGGCATTTGACTGCTAACCAGAAGGTTGGCAGTTCAAACCCACCAGCCACTCCTCGGAAGGAAGACTGGGCAATCTACTTCCGTACAGATGCCGCTTCGGAAACCCAAGGAGAGGTCGCTATGAGTTGGAGACGACTCAATGGCACATAACAACAACACCACCACCAAGTGGTTGACAGTGGTAGCCAGGCACCATCTAGTTCTTCTGGTCTCATAGTCATATAGGCTGGGGATCGCATGTTGTACTAGTCCCTTGGACTAACTGTTTCTGTGCATCTTTGGTTTTCTTCATTCTTCTTTGCGCTGGATGAGGAAAGACCCATCATTGTATTTAGATGGCTGCTTGCAAGCTTTTAAGATCCTAGTCACTACTCACCAAAGTAAGAGGTGGAACAATGTTTTGTGTAGTGTGTTATGCCAGTTGAGCTTGATGTCCCCTGCAACCATGGTCCTGAGCCCATAGGTACAACTACTTGCTCCTTCCGGGTAGCTGGCTGTGGCCAAGAAGTGACTACAGACTTGTCCCTTGTCAGCTCTACTATACACCTGGGAACTCTTACAGAACATACACATACACTTAGAGAAACACTGTCTGCCAACCCTATACATGGTCATGGGCGCACTTCCCCTTGCCTAATAGTTCAGCCTGTCCGCCCATCTATCCACTGTACACCCATGTTTGCCTTCACAGACAACACAGTACTGTATGTGCAGAAGGGTTCATCTTTGTTGTCTGTACCTCCCACGCACCTCTCTATGTCTTTCTCTTCCTCAGTGACACCATGTTGATCACTCACATTTGCTACATTGCCCTTCTCTTCACCCAAATCAATACTTGTCTCTTCCTGTCTAACAGTGTTCTCTCCCCTCCCCTCCCACCCCTGGTAACCAACAAAGAAAATTTCCTTCCATCTATAAACCTTTCCTTGACTTTTACAATAATGGACTAATACAATATTTGTCCTTCTGTGATTGACTTACTTCACTCAGCATGATGTCCTCCAAGTTCATCCACGTTATGTGGTGTTTTGCAGATTCTACATTACTCTTTAGGGTTGATGGCAGTAAGTTTTGCTAATTCTTCATAAAGGGTTTATGTAGTTGAAACTCCCCCTGCCCCTTTTTTTTCTCCTGACCTGGCAAATCTGATTCCTTTAGTTTGTTCCAGGCCACAGCCTTGAACTCGGTTTAGCCGACGCCCACTGCTGGTGCGGTTCTGTGCTGTCAAGTCGATCCTGACTCCTAGTAGACCCATGCGACAGAGCAGGACTGCCCCCTAGAGTTTTGTAGGGTGCCGTCTACGGGGGCAGACCACGAGGCCATTCTGCAGAGTCACCTAGAGTTTTGTAGGTGCTGTCTACGGGAGCAGGCCATGAGGCCATTCTGCAGAGTCACCTAGAGTTTTGTAGGGTGCCGTCTACGGGAGCAGGCCATGAGGTCATTCTGCAGAGTCACCGGGTGGCTTTGAACCACTGAAGTGTCACCTAGAAGCCAAGTGCTTAACTGCTGTGCCACTCTTTCTGGAAATACCAGGGTAACCGTCATGGTGTTTAACAGCTGAGACCCCCCCGTCTTTTCCCTGTTGCCTTACACCTGTGAGGTGTTACCAGGTGCGTTTTGCTCCACAGGTGTGAACTTGCTTGCATTCCTCATCATCGTGTTTGCCTACGTCACTATGTTCTGTTCCATCCACAAAACCACCCTGCAGACGTCCGACCTGAGCAGGCACATTGGAAGGGAGGTGGCGGTGGCCAACCGTTTCTTCTTTATAGTGTTCTCTGACGCCATCTGCTGGATTCCTGTGTTTGTCATTAAGATTCTTTCGCTCTTCCGGGTGGAAATACCAGGTCAGTCCTTCCTGTTATCTACAAGTACCTTGTGACTTCTCATGCCCTTTGACGAAGGAGGCCAGAAAGAGGAGCGGGAGCAAATATACCCCAGAATCTAGGGCAGTGTCTTGCTCATAGTGAATTCTCTAGCTTCACTGTGAAGAGTGACTATTTTACTCAGTGTTTTATAATCAGTATCCTGCGATAGGAGGAGTGCTGGTGGTGCAGTGGGTAAGTGCTGCTTATGGAAAGGTCAGCGGTTCAAACCCAGCAGCC